GGGGGCCCCCCGGGGGGCCCCCGGCAGGGGCCCCTGAGGCCCGCGCAGCAGGAGCCGCGGTGCGCTGCAGCAGCAGAGTCGGGAGCAAATGCTGCAGCAGCAGAGGCAGCAGCAGGAGCTTCCACAAAGACTGGAGAGCCCGAAGAAACCCCAGCAGCAGAAAGAGACACAGGAGCTTCTTGCTGCTGCTCTTTTGTTCTAAGAGAGGAGGAGAAGTAGTCGCAGGGAGCCAAAGAAGGCTTTGCGTGGAGATACATCCCCGCTACAAACCCTAAACCCTAAACCCTAAACCCTAAACCCTCAAGCACCCCGAACCCTGGCCCCCCAAACCCTCAAATCGACAAGTCAGGGAATATAATTCCAAAACTCTGCACTGTTGCAGTCTAAAAACTCCAAAGAGGGGGCGAAAGGGCGAAAACCCTGCAGAAAAGGAGCAGCCCCTGCTGCGGGTGTCTCACTGCGCCCGCGGTTCCGCCGCTACGGGGCGAATTTCCGAGCCCTTTCTCCTCGTTTCAGAGGCCAAATGCTCATTTTTATTTCTACAAAAGTCTAAAATTCAAAAAAAGAAGAAAAAACTGCCAAAAAGGAGCCCAGACGGACCCGGAGCCCCCAACCAGTGGTCAGGGTCACTGCAGTGTACAGACACCTCGGAGGCCGCCACCGCCGCCAACAACCCAACCGCCTTGAAATGCTTTTCATTTTTAAATTTAAATAAATTTAAATTAAATTAAATAAAATTTTCGAACTTCAGGACTGCAGCAGCCCCAGGTTTTCTCCATCTTCAAGCTCAGCGCCCACCGGCTCCTGCGCAGCTCCAGTCGCTGCCCGAGACCCGCCTAAACCCTAAACCCTAAACCCTAAACCCTAAACCCTAAACCCTAAACCCTAAACCCTGGCTAACCTTGGCTGCTGCCGGCGCTGTAGAGTACCGCAGAAGCAACTTTGCGTGCGTTTCAAAATCTCGAGCTGCAGCTGCTTCCTGGGCCAGTTTTAGCTAGCCACAGCTAGCTGCAGCTAGCTGCAGCAGCTAGCTGCAGCTAGCCGTGGCTAGCTAGCCGCTGCTGCTGCAGCTAGCTGCTGCTGCTGCAGCTAGCTGCTGCTGCTGCAGCTAGCCAGCTAGCCACGGCAGCTTTGCGAAGAGTAGGTGGGGTTGTGCTTTATGTGCAGCAACATGTGGCTCTAAATGACACTCGCTGTTCCTTGAAACCCTAAACCCTAAACCCTAAACCCTAAACCCTAAACCCTAAACCCTAAACCTTAAAGCGCCAAGTATAAGGAATCTTTCGCAGATTCATTGCCAATCCAAAGCACTCCTTCGGCTCAAATGGCACCAGAGAGCCTACTAGTGCTGCTGCTGCTCTCGCAGCTGCTGCTGCAGCTGCTGCTGCAGCTGCTGCTGCAGCTGCTGCTGCAGCTGCTGCTGCAGCTGCCGCAGCAACTGCTGCCGTTGTTGCAGCAGTTGCTGCTCAAATGGAGCAGCAATCGCAAATTCAGAAACTAAAGCGGCAGCACAACGCGCCCGCTGTTGCTGCAGTTGCTGCAGCTGCTGCAGTTGCTGCAGCAGCAGCAGCAGCTGCTGCTGCTGCTGCTGCTGCTAGCGCAAGCTAAGACGCAGCACTTTTCTTCTTTTGTTTGTTCTTCCGCTTTGTCAGCTTGCCGCTGTTGCTGCTGCTGCTGTTGTTGCTGTTGTTGTTCACATTACCACTGTTACTGCTGCTGCTGCTGCTGCTGCTGCTGCTGCTGCTGCTGCTGCTGCTGCTGCTGCTGCTGCTGCTGCTGCTTGGCTCAGAGGCCTCTGAAAGCCCCTGCAGGGCCCTCTCTTTCTTGAACTTCCCTTTGCCTTTAAAAGCCTCTTTGGGGGCCCCCGGGGGCCCCTTAAGTCGGCGAACTTTCTTAGGGGGGCCCCCCGAGAGGGGCCCCTCAGGGGCCTCCCCAGGGGCCCTCTTGAGGGCCCCCCTGGGGGCCCCATTGGGGCCCCCCTGGGGGCCCCCCTGGGGGCCCCCTTGGGGGGCCCCCTCAGGGGCCCCCTGGGGGGCCCCCTCAGGGGCCTCCTCAGGGGCCCCTTGGGGGGCCCCTTTGGGGGCCCCCTTGGGGGCCCCCTTGGGGGCCCCCCTGGGGGCCCCCTGGGGGCCCCTCTTTGAGTTTGTGTGGAAGGCAATGAAACGCCCAGCAGCAGCAACATCTAGGGTTTGGGTTCTTTTCTCTCCTGCATAAATAAACCCTAAACCCTAAACCCTAAACCCTAAACCCTAAACCCTAAACCCTAGACTAGTGGGGCTGGGTGCGGAGGGACGCAAGCGGTGGCAGCAGTGGGGCTACACAACTCTTGAGAAGATGCAGCCAACGAATTAGGGTTTAGGGTTTAGGGTTTAGGGTTTAGGGTTTAGGGTGTGGCTTGCCTTCTTGGATTGCTCTCGACACTTTCTGCATGTATTGCTGCACGCGAGCCTGCAGCGAAAAACACGGAAGCACCAAACCCTAAACCCTAAACCCTAAACCCTAAACCCTAAACCCTCAACCCTAAACCCTAAACCCTGAAACTTCGGCCCTAAGCCTTAGACCCCACATCGTAAACCCTAAACCCTAAACCCTAAACTCTAATCCCTAAAACACTAAAGAAAGATATGCATGCCTACGGCTTAGAAGCAAGAGCTGCAGCTGAGGGTTTAGGGTTTAGGGTTTAGGGTTTAGGGTTTATCGCTCACGAGGTCTCTTGTGACTGGATGGCTCTGAGTGCTCAGGCCCTGGGTCTTGAGGTATGCTGCATGCACGCGCAAGCCCTAAACCCTAAACCCTAAACCCTAAACCCTAAACCCTAAACCCTAAACCCTAAACCCTTAATCCCAAATCCTAAACCCTAAATCAGGGTGCTGTAGCATTGAGCCCTGGGAAGATAAAGTGATCCGAACCCCAACCCCTAAATCCGCGAGTGAGGCGTAAACCCCAAACCCTAAACCCTAAACCCTAAACCCTAAACCCTAAACCCTAAACCCTAAACCCTCAAGCCTCACTAAACCATAAGGTGCATGCAGCAAAGGCAGTAGCGACATGGAGCTGCGCCGCCTCGAGGGGTGGGAGAGTTGCTGCAGCATCATGAGGTTTGCTTCTTGTTGCTGCTGCTTCCGCTGCGTCTGCTGCTGCTGCTGCTGCTTCTGCGTCTGCTGCTGCTGCTGCTGCTGCTGCTGCTGCTGGATTCTTAGCCAGGGCCCCAAGGGCCCCCCTGAGCTGCTGCAGTTTGCTGTCGAGGGCCCCCAGCTGGGAGGAGTAACTTTCCAAAACTTCCTCTATAGACTCCATTGCTGCTGCTGCTGCTGCTGCTGCTGCAGCTGCTGCTGTTGCTGCTGCTGCTTCCGGCGCCTGCTGCAGTTCTTGCTGCTGCAGCAGCAGCAGCAGCGGTACAGGCACTGCTGCTGCTGCTCTCTGCAGACAGCAGCCGTTCTGATGCAGAAGTTCCTGCTGCTCTTGCCACTTTTGCTGCTTCGATTGCAGCAGCAGCAGCGGCTGCTGCTGCTGCAGTCGATTTCGCGCTGCTGCTGCTGCTGCTGCTGCTGCTCTGTAGCGGGGCCAGCAGTCAGGCTTTTAAATAGCAGGGGTTTTGTCGGTGGCTAGTTTGCTGCAGAATCTGCTGCAGCGGCTTCAGCAGCAGCAGCAGCAGCAGCAGCAGCAGCAGCAGCAGCAGCAGCAGCAGGCCCACCGTGGGGTAGAAAGCTTGAAAGCACTCTTTAAAGCCCTTAATTCTTTTTCAATTAATGAAATGAAGAAATTAAATTTATTTTAAAAGACAAATAAATCATTTTACTCTCTTGGGGGCCCCCAAGGCCGCTTCAGCAGCAGCAGCAGCAGCAGCAGCAGCAAGGCGGGGGCCCCCTTTATGGCGTGGGGCCCCAGGGGCCCCCTTCCAGGGTCTGTGGTGCTGCTGCTGCTGCTGCTGCTGCTGCTGCTGCTCATAAAAGGCACCTTTGAAAGTTTTTAATTTATCTTGTCAAGAAGTTGAATTTAGGGATTTAAGGCTCAGGCTGTAGGGTTTGGGTTTCAGGGTTTAGGGTTTAGGGTTTAGGGTTTAGGGTTTAGGGTTTAGGGTTTAGTCCCTTGTCTTCGCAGGCTATGCAGCTCATCAGGCTGCCAAAGACTGCTGCTGCAGCGGATTCAAAGGCAGCAGCAGCAGCAGCGTATTCAAAGGCAGCAGCAGCACCAGCGGATTCAAAGGCAGCAGCAGCAGCAGCAGCAGCAGCAGCAGCAGCAGCAGCAGCAAAAGCACGCAGCGTGAAGGCGGAGGCCTCCGGGGGGCCCCCAGGGGGGGCCCCCAGGGGCCCCTCAGGGCCCCCCCAGAGCCGAAAAGATAAAACTGAAATTCTGGCTGCCTTAAAACGAGAACAATCAAGCAGCAGCAGCAGCAGCAGCAGCAGCAGCAGCAGCAGCGGGTACACGAAGAGCCGCACGAAGAGCAGCAGCAGCAGCAGCAGCAGCAGCAGCAGCAGCAGGAGAGGCAAGAAGCGCAGGCGGAAGCGGAAAAGCGCAAAAAGGAGAGCAGCAGCAGCAGCAGCCTGTCGGCGTCCGCTGCTGCTGTCTGCTGCGCTGCAGCAGCTGCTGCAGCTGCCGCAGCGCAGCAGCAAAGTGGATGTCATAAGGGGCCTCTGGAAGTACGCGAAGCAGCAGCAGCTGCAGCAGCAAGGAGAACCCCACACTATTTGCTGCGACGAGCCGCTGCAGCAGCTTTTTGGGGGCCTCCAAAAAGTTAATCTTTTTTCCGACATCAACAGATTGCTGCTGCCGCACCTCATCTACACTGAGCAGCAGAAGCAGCAGCAGAAACAGCAGCAGGAGCAGCAGAAGCACCAGCGGCAGCCGCCGTACTCACCGCGATGCCGCAGACTTTGGAGGGCGCAGCAGCAGCAGCAGCAGCAGCAGCAACAACAACAGCAGCAACTGCAGAAGCAGCAGCGACTTTGAAAGCAGCAGCAACAGCGCCAGCAGCAGCGACGAGTCTTTTCCAAAGAGGTGCAAAACGCTCAGCAGCAGCAGCAGCAGCAGAAGCGGCAGCAGCAGCAGCAGCAGCAGGAGTGGGGCACCGCAGTGGCGTCCTAGGCCTGCAGCAGCAGCAGCAGCAACAGCAGCAGCAGCAGCACCAAGAACAGCAGCAGCAGCAGCAGCACCAAGAACAGCAGCAGCAGCAGCAGGAAGTTGCCGCGCGCGGCTGCGGCGGCTGCTGCTGTCTTCCAGCGACGAAGAGACAGGGCCCCTTAGAGCAGCTCGTAGCCCAGCAGCAGCAGCAGCAGCAGCAGCAGCAGCAGCAGCAGCGAGAGCAGCAGCACCAAAGTCGGCGCCAAGAGGGGCACAGGGGACAGCAGCAAGAGCAGCAGCAGCAGCACCTTCAGCAACAAGGGTAAGAGCAGCAGCTGCAGCGGAAGCAGCAGCAGCAGTGCCAACAGCGCCGGCAGCAGCAGCAGCCCGCGCATCAGCAGCAGGGAGAACAGCAGCAGCAGCAGCAGAACAAGCAGCACTGGCAACAAAGAGGGAAAGACCAGCAGCAGCAGGAGCGAATGCAGCAACAGCAGCAGCAGCCGCAGCAGCAGCAGCAGCAGCAGCGAAACGAGAGCAGGTTGAGGGACAGCCAGAGCCCTCCTTTACACATGGGGAAATGTGGCAGTCACGGCAGCAGCAGCAGCAGCAGCAGCTGCAGCAGCAGCAGCAGCAGCAGCGGCAGCAGCAGCTAGATATGAGCATTTCAGGGACAGCAGCAGCCTCAAGCAGCAGCAAAAGAGCTGCAGCAGATGGCTCAGCAGCTGCAGCGCCACCAGGTAGCAAATCAGCAGCAGCAGCAGCAGCAGCAGCAACTGCAGCAGCAGCAGCAGCAGCAGCAGCAGCGTGGGGCCGCTGGGCAGCAGAAAGCGAAGACCCTTTGGCCCAAATATTAAAAAGAGCAGCAAAAAGAAATAATGAAAGTGAGAAGCAAAAAACAATTAAAATAAAATTAAAAATAAATAAATAAACAAAAAGAAATTAAATAAAGAAATAATTAAATAAATAAAAAGAAATAAAAGAAATAAAAGAAATAAATAAAAAGAAATAAAAAGAAATAAATAAAAAGAAATAAAAAGAAATAAATAAAAAGAAATAAATAAAAAGAAATAAATAAAAAGAAATAAAAAGAAATAAAAAATGATTAAAAAGAAATAAATAAAAAGAAACAAATAAAATTAAATAAAAGAAATAAATAAAATTAAATAAAAGAAATAAATAAAAAGAAAAAGAAATTAAAAAAGAAAATGGAAATTAAATTTAAAGCAGCAGCAGCAGCAAAGTTGGAAATAAATAAAATTCAAAAAGACCAGCAGCAAATTAAAGACCAGTGGAGACAAAAAGATGAAAATAAAAATAAAAATAAAAATAAAAAATAAAATAAAATAAAATAAAATTAAAAAGTTAAAACTTTAAATAGATATATTTGCTGCAGCACGAGGCTGCATGCGAGCTGCTGCTGCTTCTTTGCTGCAGGCAACGACCCCCCAGAGCAGCAGCAGCAGCAGCAGCAGCAGCAGCAGCAGCAGTTGCTGCAGCAGCAGCTGCGGCTGCGGCTTAGCAGCATCCGGCCGCGGTCTGTTGCTGTTTCATTTTGCTGCTGCATTTGCCAGCGTGTTGCTGCTGCTGTGCAGCAGGGGATTCTCTCCTTCAGCCTGCTGCAGCAGCAGCTCCCTGCAGCAGCAGCAGCAGCACCAACAGCAGCAGCAGCAGCAGCAGCAGCAGCGGCAGCAGCAAGTGAAGAGCTGCCCGTAAAAGTCTACGTAAGTCTAAACCCTCTTAACTGAGACTCGCCAGGCCCTCACTCTAAGCTTTTGTCCGTCCCTGAGCAGCAGCAGCAGCAGCAGCAGCAGCAGCAGCAGCAGCAGCAGTAGCAGCAGCAGCAGCAGCAGCAGCAGCAGCAGCAGCAGCAGCAGCAGTAGCAGCAGCAGCAGCAGCGAATGTTGCTGCTGCGCAGGCCTGGCCCTGCTGCTCGCCTTTCTGTCTCGCTGCGTCTCTTTGTGTCTCTCCTGGCTCTCTCTTAGCAGCGGCCTTCGCTGCTCACGGTTTAGGGTTTAGGGTTTAGGGTTTAGGGTTTAGGGTTTAGGGTTTAGCTCTGGCGTGTCTGCTGCACCAGGAAGCCCCCGTAGCCATCGAAAGAAACTCTGAAGAGCAGCAGCAGCTAAAAGGGCTGCTGCTGCTCGAGGGTTTGCAGCCCGCAGCCTCCTACCGCTTCACGCTGCTGGCCCACGCCAAGCAGCAGCAGCAGCAGCAGCAGCAGCAGCAGCAGCAGCAGCAGCAGCAGCAGCAGCAGCAGCAGCAGCAGCAGTGGAAGCAAGAGCAGCAGCAGCGGCAGTTTGCTGCAGCGAAGACGGCCCGCGACGCTTCGCAGCAGCCTGGTGAGCAGCAGCCCCCAGCAGCAGGCGCAGCAGCGAAGGCCCCCGCAGCAGCAGCAGCAGCAGCAGCAGCAGCAGCAGCAGCAGCAGCGGTGGGGTCAGTGGT